CAACCATAGTAAAACAAAGACTTATATTTTTGATATTTATTTGATATATTTAAATGCCATTTAACAAAGAAAAATCAACCAAAAAAATGAGTTCATTTGTCACCTCTGACACGCATGTCATAGGTTCACTATCACTGATATAGTAAATACTCAATAAGAATTTTTGATTGATGAAAATGAGGGAAAAGGTGTTCAAGGACCTAAACAGATCCATCATATCTGTAACAGGTAAGTTTCAAAGAACATACTGGCAATGCTGTCAGAACCCAAGGAACTTTAATAGTCCCATGTAGAATTAAACTTGAATAGTCCCATGTAGAATTAAACTTGAATAGTCCCATGTAGAATTAAATAGCAATAGCAAAGTTCTATTTCTATTCAGTAAATGACCAAACATTAACCAATACCAGCTCCTTCCTTCCTCTTATTGAGCAGGAAAGACATCAAAAACACACTTAGAACCCTAGCTGGTTTGGCTCAGTGGATAGAGCATCAGCCTGTGAACTGAAGGGTCCTACGTTCGATTCTGGTCAAGGGCATATGCTCGGGTTATGGGCTCGATCCCCAGTAGGGGGTGGACAGGAGGTAGCGGAACAATGATTCTCTCTTATCATTGATGTTTCTCTCTCTCTCTTCCCACACACTTAAAGTCAATCCAGCCTGGAGAATAACAGATTTTTTATTTTATTTATTTACTTTTTTATCCTCACCCAAGGATATTTTTCCATTGATTTTTTTAGAGAGAGTGGGAGAGGGAAAGACAGAGAGAAACATCGATGTGAAAGAAACACATCATTGATTGCCTCCTGCACGAGCCTCAGATCAGGGCCCAGGCCGGGAAGGAGCCTGCAAGCAAGGTATGAGCCCTTGACCAGAATTGAATCCAGGACCCTTCGGTCTGAAGGCTAATGCTTTACCCATTCGGCCAAACCGGCTTGAGCTACCAGATTATTTAAATGTTTGAGAGGCCTTCCCTAACTGGTTTGGCTCAGTGGATAAAGCGTCGGCCTACAGACTGAAAGGTCCCAGGTTCGATTCCGGTCAAGGGCATGTACCTGGGTTGCGGGCACATCCCCAGTAGGAGGTGTGCAGGAGGCAGCTGATCGATGTTTCTCTCTCATCGATGTTTCTAACTCTCTATCCCTTTCCCTTCCTCTCTGTAAAAAATCAATAAAATATATTTTTAAAAATAAAAATAAGTAAATGTTTGAGAGGCCAGTTACCACCTGACCATCTCAAGAATTCTAAGATGGGGTGAGTTACAGCCAGTGTAACACAGTGGCCAAATAGTTCCAATGCCAAACTGAGGAAAGAAGATGCTCCAGCACTGAATGAATGACCACATGGTATTAGAGAGAAGATCCCAGCGTCCTGAGGTGAGCGGTGAAGGGGGTGGGTTTCTGAGATGCCATCGACCAGTCAGTCATCAGCACTGTGTGCACAGACCACACCCCCAAACTGATTTGTTTCCAACAGCTAGCAGCAACCAGAGGCCTTCGGAGCCTAGCTTGTTTTGTAACAGACAACTCAAAGAACAATATATGGTATACAATAGTTCAAAACTGACTTTGGAACTTCTGTATATTTTTAATAATTTAAGTGAATACCACCATTGAGAATGAAAGTGTTTTAAGCCTCATCAAATACAGAAAACTATGGAGCAATGTTAGATATCATTCTTTCACCTCCTGTCAATGAGGATGAAGGTTTGTGAAGCATAGCGAATCTATGAATGCCTAAACTTTCAAGTGTGCAAGAGCCTTTCAAGTAAGGCAGGTACTTACTTGCTCTGACAAGTGTAGATGTTCTGGCTGTGTTTATTAAACAATGGTAAACATCTGAATGAAAAGCAAAACATCATTTAGATGGTCTGTCTGCTTTCCAAAATTTAGTTATTTGGAAACATCCAGAAATATTTAGATATATCTGACAGACAAGGTTTATCTACCCCATGGCTTTGGAATGCAACAGATACATGGAGTTTTATGGGATATTTAAGCCTTTTGAGGAAAGAATCATGTCTAATTTTTGTTGTAAACCAAGGACTCTCCCACAGATCCCTATTCAATAAATGCTAGGTGATTGAATGAATAAGAATTAATTAATGCTTCTGGATTCCAAAGGTGCTGCTGTCTATTATCAAGAAATAAGGTGAGCCCAGGTTGCTGGCTCTAACCCTGGTGAGGGGCATGCAAAAGGCAACCAATCGATGTTTCTCTTTCACATTGATTTTCTCTCTTCCTCACTCTCTTTAAAAAAAATCTTTTTAAAAACATTTTTTAAAAAGAAAATTTTAAAAGGTGAGAGAAATGAAAATATGCTCACAAAAATATTTGAAAAAGAATATTTATAGCAGCCTTATTCATAACAGGTCCCAACTGGAAATACCCAAATATCTATCAGCTGGAGAATGAATAAACAAATTGTGTTATAATTCATACAGTAGACTATTACTCAGCAATAAAAAGGAATACACTACACAGAGATGGATCAAGAAAACATTACTATGCTAAATAATATAGTTGCAGTTCTGGCTGGTGTGGTTCAGTTGGTTGAGCATCATACCTTGCACCAAAAGGTCGCCAGTTTGATTCCCAGTCAGGGCATATACCCAGGTTGCAGGTTGGCACATACAGGAAGCAACTGATAGATGTTTCTCTAGCACAGTGATGGCGAACCTATGACACACGTGTCAGAGGTGACACGCGAACTCATTTTTTTGGTTGATTTTTCTTGGTTAAATGGCATTTAAGTATATAAAATAAATATAAAAAATATAAGTCTTTGTTTTACTATGGTTGCAAATATCAAAAAATTTCTATATGTGGCATGGCACCAGAGTTAAGTTAGGGTTTTTCAAAATGCTGACACGCCGAGCTCAAAAGGTTCGCCATCACTAGAGTCTAGCACATCAATGTTTCTCTCCCGTTTTCTTTTTCTCTCTCCCTTTTTCCCTTTCTCTCTCTCTCTGAAGTCAATAAATATGTACTTTAAAAAGTACATACTGTGCTCGCTTCGGCAGCACATATACTAAAATTGGAACGATACAGAGAAGATTAGCATGGCCCCTGCGCAAGGATGACACGCAAATTCGTGAAGCGTTCCATATTTAAATAAAAAAAAAGTACATACTATATTATTCTACTTTTAAAAAGTCCATGAACAGATAAAACTAAAGTGATAGAATTCAGGGTTTGCTGGGGTGGGTGGTGGTAGGTGCAGAGTAATCAACTATAAAGGGGCATGAGGAGACTTTCTGGAGTAATGGTTCAGTATCTTATTTGGGGAGTTACATAGGTATATATTACTGTTGAAATTCACAAAACGGAGCACCTAAGATCTATATTAGTATACTTAATTGTATGTTAAGGATAAACCAATGAAATAATTTTAAAGCAAAGGTGAAAGAGCTGGTATAGGTAACCATCATGGCATCTTTTAGGGTCCAATAATAACTGCCCTCAGGCATTTGAAAAAGTCAAGCTACCTCTAATGCTCAAGAACCCACCATGACTTATCACGTGCTATCAAATCTATATCCTGGTCTGATCTCCATACAAAACCTCCTCCATGGACTTCTCCCACTTCCCACCCTACCAAGGTAATTGCTCACTATCTCCCACATAGATAATTTGCTCATAATTTGAGTCTCCTTTATGTCCTTACCCTGACTAAATCTTACACAAAATTTTTCTCTACCCTTCAAGTCCCATTTTATTTTTTTGTTTGTGTGTGTGTGTGTGTGTGTATGTGTGTGTTTTAATCCTCATTCAAAGATATTTTTCCCATTGATTTTTAGAGGGAGAGACAGAAACGTTGTGAGATTGGTTGCCTGCCGCACGCACCCCGAATGCTGTCAGTGATTGAGCCTGCAACCAATGTACATGCCCTTGACCAGAATCGAACCAGGATCCCTTCAGTCCTCAGGCTGATGCTCTATCTACTGAGCCAAACTGGCTAAGGCCAAATCCCATTTTAAATTACAGAGCCTCCTTCACAGAGGAACTCTAGATTAATCCTATTCAGTCTGAGCACCGTATGTTCCCTTCACTTTTATGTTCCTTTGACTACTAACATGATGCTTTAATGTATCCCACAACTGAAGCAATTTAAATAAAATGGACAGAGACTGTGGCTAGGGATCCCTTTTTATTTCCTTGCAGGACCCAGTTCAGAACCTGCATATTCAGGCCAGTCAGTACAATGCAGATTATGAAGATTATATGGGATCCAGATGAGGGCAAATAGTTTATCTAAGGACCAATGAGAATGGGAGCAAAGGGAGCTCTGAGGTCAAGAGCCAAAGTGAGCTGTTTGCTTTTCCTCTTTTAAGCTTGAGGTTAGTTAGTTCAATAGGGAAGGGACTCATCCCCACTGAGATAGCAAGTGGCTGAGAACAAGGTTTTATGCTTTTTCTGCTCAGCCTTCCCTCCTAAACCAGTGAGGAAACGGGCCAGCAAAGCTCTGAGAGGAGAGGAGTCTGTTCCCGGCGTCAATTTTCCTTATTACTGGGAGGACCCCATCCCGAAGGAATAAGAGAGAGGCGGGAGTATTTAAGGCCAAGGAGGCAGTCAAGCCTCTTCCCTTAGATTTACTCCTAACACGTATGCAGGAAGGCAAATTACAAACCCCAACGCTCACAACCACATATACACGTGCACGCCCAGCCCCACGGAAGCAGACGCCCCCCGCGCGCACCCACTTAGTTTTCTGTCTATAGATGCTCCCCTATTTCACCCCAGTTCGACCCAGACTGGCGTCCCTTATCCCCGCACAGAGGAGGTTCTACCAAGCCCACCCGGCCCGGCCCCGGGAAAGTGTTTCTATACAGCGGGGGAGGGGCAGTCCTTCCCTCCTGGGCGGAAGCGGCGCGCGCCGCCGGGGCAGACTTCGCTCTTGTCCTGGGAACATCTGGAGGAGCTGGGAGGGGCGTGCACCCAGGGTGAGCGCGGATTGGCTGCGCGGGAGGCGGGAGGCGGGATCTGGGAGAGGGGCGGAGTTCCCTAGCCCCTTTAAAGCCTTGACATCAAGAGGCGGACCCAGCAACCCCCCTTCTCAGCCCCTCGCCCCCGAGCCTTGGCCATGGACCCGGCGTATCCGGCCTGCCCTGGTCCAGCTCAGCACCTGATTTCGGTGAGTTCTGGCCTCCTTGGGACGTAAAGGCAGCGAGTGGTGGGGTCTGTAAGCCACGGGCTGGGGGTGAGAGGCACGAAGGGTAAGGCGCGCGTGGCAGCCTGGGTTCAGAGCGGGCAGCACGGCTTCCAGCCCGGACCTCGCTGTCTGCCTCTCCCGCCCGCCGCACTCTCCCCAGGGGTAGGGGTGGGACTCTG